GCAGCCACACTCAGGAGGGAACTGAGGGGCACCCCAGAGAGAGAACGGACTAAAGTCTGCAGCTCCCAGGGCTGTTTTCCGTGGCGTTGTATCTCAGTGGACGGGCGTCTCGCTCACCACCAGGAGCTGGTCCAGTAAAAGCTCCTACCTCTCGGGCACAGACACAGACGTGGGGGAAAGGTTCCTTTGGTTTTTGACCCCCAACCCCAGAAAATCAGGACAGCATCTCTCTCCTTTTGTGGAAGGCCCTGAAGGCAGCTGGGAGATTGCTCAGACTTGACTGAACCCAGGTGAAAGTAAATGAAGTTTCTTATAGGTACCGTTGAATTACACCCCCTGGGGGCACTCGGGGCAGGGGAGTATGATACCACGGTACCTGTAAGAAATGTAAGTGCGGGGAGCTCAGGGCAGGGCTGTGAGGGGTGCAGTCAGGGCAGGGGTGTGCAGGAGTGACAAGGGGCTCAGGAAACAGGGCGGGGTGAGTGCTGGGGGAACGCCAAGGACACTATTTCCAGGGGGGGGGGGCTGCAGCTGCACATACCGGGTCACTGCTGCTCTTCTTCCCCAGTCAGGAAGCAGGGGAAAGTGCAGAGTGTGCTGCATTCCTCCCCTGAGCAGCCAGAGCAAGAGGGGTGCCCAGTTGTAGGCTGAGGAGTTCGGTTTCAAGCTGACCTACATTCGGCTGCTTGTCCCAGGGGAAGGACAATGCCCGCATTCTCCACCAAGTGCTGCGGTCCCTTGCTCTGGAGCAGCGAGGGAGGCACCTCCCTGCCTCAGGCAGCAGCACTTTGGCTCAGGTCTCACTGGTGGTGCTGAGCAGGGTTAGCCCAGAGTCTCAGGGCTAGGGCTGCTGTTGGTCAAGAGTCTAGGGCTCTGGCCTCCTGGGCAGGGCAGAACCGAGCCTGTACGGTCTTTGACCCACAGCCTTCTGAGCGGGGCAGACAGGCTTTAGCCTGCCCAGCTAAGGCAGCCGGCAAACAGTCCAGGCTCCATCTCCAGGCACAGATATTGCACAGGCCTTCTGGCCTAGGGGTGAACAGGCCACACCCAGGGGATCTGGGCCCTGCCTATCCCACTGGGCCCCATCCCAGGGTCCAAACAGTGCCAAACAGTTTCACCGCTAGGTCAGCAGGGACCCTACCAAAACACACTGACCCCTGCTCCAGCACCAGTCTGGCTCCCCACTACTTCCTACCCCCCTCAGCAGACATGGCAGCCAGCTACTCCTCTCCAGGGGCACTGCACAAGCTCATGCTGCAGCACGGTGCACACACCTGTCCCTTCCCCAGCTCCCACACAGCTGAACTGCAGGGCCCTCCCTTTCTTCTTCCAGCAGGGAGGGCGGGGCAGGTTTGACTCCACCCACCGGGCCATGGCGTGGCCTCTGGCTCTCAAGTCCAGAGAGAGGCTGCTTGGCCTCACTGCCAGGCCACACGAGGCCCTGCCAGCACAACCAATGCCGAACCTGCAGAGCTAGCACCACTGCTGCCTGTGTGGGGCCTCGTCCAGGGATCTCTGGCCCAACAGCAATTACATGGTGAAATCAGACCAATCAGGAGTGCTCGCAGGACCTCAGCAGGGAAAGGGACAAGACAAACTCCCGGTCACTGGGGGTGAACATGTCACTGCGATCACTGCAGCTGTCCTGAGCCTCACAGCAAACCTGCACAATGGTCCAAAGACGGGCCCGGGAGCATGAGTTCATAGAACCACAGAGCTGGAAGAGCCCTCAGGAGTCATCAGGTCCAGCCCCCTGCACTAGGCAGGGCCAATCCCAACTAAATCAACCCGGCCAGGGCTGTGTCAAGCCGAGACTTAAACACCTCTAGGGATGGAGACTCCACTACTTCCCTAGGGAACCCAGCCCAGTGCTTCCCCACCCTCCTAGGGAAATAGATTTTCCTAATATCCAGCTTGGACCTCTCCCACCACAACTTGAGCCCATTGCTCCTTGTTCTGCATCTGTCACTACTGAGAACAGCCTCTCTACAGCCTCTTTGGAACCTCCCTTCAGGAAGTTGAAGGCTTCTCTCAAATCCCCCCTCACTCTTCGCTTCTGCAGACCAAAAAAACAGACCCAATTCCCTCAGCCTCTCCTCATAAGTCATATGCTCCAGCCCCCTAATCATTTTGGTTGCCCTCTGCTGGACCCTCTCCAATGCATCCACATCCCTTCTGTAGTGGGGGGCCCAGAACTGGACACAATACTCCAGATGCGGCCTCACCAAAGCCGAATAAAGGGGAATAATGACACCTCTGGATCTGCTGGCAATGCTCCTCTTAATGCAACCTAATATGCCATTAGCCTTCTTGGCTACAAGTGCACACTGTTGACTCATATCCAGCTTCTCATCCACTGTAACCCCCAGGTCCTTTTCTGCAGAACTACTACTTAACTGGTTGGTCCCCAGCCTGGAACAATATTTGGGATTCTTCCATCCCAAGTGCAGGACTCTACACTTGTCCTTGTTGAACCTCGTCAGATTTCTTGTGGCCCAATCCTCCAATTTGTCTAAGTCACTCTGGACCCTATCTCTGCCCTCAAGTGTATCTACCTCTCCCCCTAGCTTAATGTCATCTGCAAACTTGCTGAGGGTGCAATCCATCCCCCCCTCCAGGTCATTAATAAAGATATTGAACAAAACCAGTCCTAGAACCGAACCTTGGGGCACTCCGCTAGAAACCAACCGCCATCCTGACATCGAGCCATTGATCACTACCCACTGGGCCCGGCCTTCTAGCCATCTTTCTATCCATCTTACCGTCCATTTATCCAATCCACACTGAATTCATCACTTTACCAGATCCTGACAATCATGGACTGACCAGCACCGGGGCTACGTCTACACTGGCAGATTCTTGCACAAGGACGGGCAGCCTGTCCGGGTGGCCCCTCCACAGCACCCTCCCGCTCGCCCCCCAGGAACCCAGGCCGCCTGCTGCTCCCCAGGCCCAGGGCACAGCTGGGACCCCCCCCAACCAGCTGGGAGTGCGCTGGGGCATGGGGGGCCCGAGATGGGGGCTGGAGAGGCTCTCCGCTGGGAGGCCAGTGGGGGTCCAGCTCTGCTCCTTGTGCACTTGGGCCAGGAGGTCTCCTGGTGCCTGGGCCCGCAGGCTGAGCAGTCCCTTCTCCGCTGCGTGTGGCTGGCGCTGGCCGGTGGGGTGCGAACAGGGCACAGGATCTACAGAGCTGCTCCCCCCGGGGCAGGCCGAGAGGGAGCGTCAGAGTTCTCGCGCAAAAAGCCCTAATTTTCTACAGTACAACATCAGTTTACTTGCACAAGAACGCGCAGCCAGTGTAGACAGGCGGCATGTTTTTGCGCAAGAGCGTGCCAGTGTAGACACAGCCTGGATGTGTGGCTCATTACATGAGCGTATAACCCATAGCCCTTGCCCCCTTCCCTCTCCTCTGATGAGCCACTGCACCTGGAAGGGGCCTAACTCTGAGTGCTAAACCACTGGGGTTAGTCCTGCTCTGGGCAGGGGGCTGGACGCGCTGACCCGAGGCCTCTGGCAGCCCTGGGATTGTGATTTCTTCCCCCTTGTATTTAGCGGAGAGTTTCCAGGCTTGTCGCTCTCTGCGACAGAGTCTGGCCTAATAAAAGATGTGACCTCACCCACCTTGTCTTGGCCAGCTTTGCAGTGTTTGAGCCAAGGCATTGGGGCGGAGGGGTCCGGCTTGCTAATGGTCTCGGCCCACGGCTAAGCGCTCGCGGAGCCCCGCGGCTCTTGCCCAACCTTTGCCAGGGAGGAGCTGGGCGAGCTGTGTGAACGTAGGTGCTGAGGGTCCAAGTATAGGAGGTGACCCGAAGTGGGTCGGGGCTCAGCTAACTCACCCAAGAGCCAGAACCAGCGTGTGTCCAGCCCACCCCGGGCGGGGTTCCCTCGGCCCAGACACAGGCCTGGGCATAGAGGGACAGAGGAGCCCCGAGAAAAGGCTCTGAACAGGGCGAGGGCCCAAGGCCGTGTCATTATGGCGGAGACGCCTGCCAGCGCATCTCACGGGCAGCAGTTCCAGCTCCCGGCCGGGCCAGGCGCTGTGCCAGAGAATTAAACACCTCGCTAGACAGGAAAAGCTCTCAATGAGCGCAGCTCAGTTTGGCTTTGTGTTTTCTGTCACCTGTGTAGCCAACAACTTTTACATGAATCTTCGCCCCAAGCGCCAGTAAATAAACATCAGCTTGGTTTAACGGGCGCCATGCTGAAGCCTGGTGCTAGCACGTGTGTTGAACTGGGCTGAGCCTGGTGACTAGGCTGCCCTGCTCCCAACGAGGTAGTGGGTCGTGGACGTTGCAGGCATCCAGAAGACAAGGAAGTGGGCACGTGACTAACAAGATGGGATGGGCAAATCACTAGCTTGCAGCAGCCTAAGTCTATGCTGCCTGCAGCTGGCGCTTTGAGAGAACTCTCCTGGTGCACACAAACAAGACGCCCTGGTGCCATGAGCAGGTGGTAGCTAGCCACACACCAGTTCTCTCTCCAGTGTCACACTGCCCAGGATGTCTGCCCAGAACAATGATGCAAGCCTGGACCTGCAGAATTATGCAAATCCACCCAGCGACCACCCACCAGAGGTGGGACGAGGAGGGAGGGAGAAGCTAAGGGGATAGAGCAAGAATCTCGCCCCAAATCCCAGATATGATGGCACAAAAGAAGTGTGTCTTCAAACTGCCAGGAATCCTAATCCACAGTTCTTCAGAGCCACAAGGAAGGACTCCCTGCCTTTGAGAGGTGGAAAGGGGTAGCCCTGAGCTACAGCGGTGCCTGCTCCTACAGCATGGACAAACTGACCCAGGACATCAAACCCCAAAGACAGGGAAGCCCTATGTGGGCAAGTCTTCCACCCCCACCCCTCCTGATAGCAACTGGAGGGGGCTGGCTCCAGTGTACCCAGGCAGGCCAAGAGCCTCCTTGAAATGAGCTGGGAGGGACAGAGGCTTCCAGTTGCAGGCAGCTTCTCCTGCCCCCTACCCCACCCAGCTAGAGACCAGACATCTGTCCATCTTGTTAAACTTGCTTTAATTTTTGGACATGAAGACAGGACAGAGCCGATCTGGCTGTGCACAGACAAGACGCCCCAGGCCAGGGTATAGGCTGCAGGGTTTCCCTTCTCATGGATGTGTGGCTTTGGCCATGATGCAGTTCACTTGGTGACCTCCAGAGGGTGCCAGTGGGGTTCAGGTGCAGGGACAGGTGGACAGAGGAGCTCTCAAGCGGCTCAGAGGTTGTTCAGCTCCAGCAGGGTCTGGTCTAGAACTTGGTGAATGCCAACGTTCTCCTCTTTGGCACTGGCCAGATTCTCTGTAAACACAAAGGACATGCAGACACGCAGCCAGACAGACGGAAAGACACACACACAGCCAGAAAGGATCAGACGCAGACACACAGATCCAGACATGCAAGAAGACTGACCCACCCATCCCCATCCCAGTGCTTCACCACCAGCCAAGTGAAATCGTTTTTCCTAATTTCCAATCTAGACCTCCCCCACTGTAACTTGAGCCCATTGCTCCTTGTTCTGCATCTGTCACTACTGAGAACAGCCTCTCTCCATCCTCTTTGGAACCTCCCTTCAGGAAGTTGAAGGCTGCTATCAAATCCCCCTTCACTCTTCTCTTCTGCAGACTAAACAAATCCAAATCTCTCAGCCTCTCCTTGTAGGTCTTGTGCTCCAGCCCCCTCAGTACCCTCGGATGCATTAAATCCGGACCCATGGATATGTGTGTCTCTAGCTTTTCTAAATAGTTCCTAACCTGTTCTTTCCCCACCGAGGGCTGCCCACAGCGTTCCCAGACTGCGTTGCCTAGTGCAGTCATCTGGGAGCTGACCTTGTCCGTGAATACAGAGGCAAAGAAAACATTGAGTACTTCAGCTTTCCCCACATCATCTGTTACTAGGTTACCTCCCTCATCCAGTAAGGGCCCCACACCCTCCCTGAGCACCTTCCTATTGCTAACATTCCTGTAGAAACCTTTCTTGTTCCCCTTCACATCCCTCACCAGCTGCAATTCCAATTGCACTTTCGCCTTCCTGATAACCCCCCGGCATTCGAGCAATACAGGCAGTCCCCAGGTCACGTACAAGATAGGGACTGTAGGTTTGTTCTTAAGTTGAATTTGTATGTAAGTCGGAACTGGCGTCCAGATTCAGCCGCTGTGGAAACTGACCAGCAGCGGCTGAATCGGACACGCCTGGGGCAGAGCAGCTGGAGTGCTGCTGGGTTGGTCCCACAGCGCCGTGGGGGGGGGGGGGGGGGTGCACTGGCTGCGGGCCCTCCCCCCCCAGCAGACCAGGGAGACGCGGAGCGTCTTTTCTCGCCGCGGAGGACGCGGGCAGCGGGACCCCTGCGGCACGTCTCGGCGGTCTGCTGGGGAGGGCGCAGCTAGTTTGGGGTTCCCATACCCCGTTCGTAAGTAGGGATCTGACATAAGTCGGATCCACGTAACCCAGGGACTGCCTGTATATTTATACTCCTCCGTGGTTATCTGGCCAAGTTTTCACTTCTTGTAAGCTTCCTTTTTCTGTTTAAGTTCACCAAGGATGTCCCCAGTAAGCCAATCTGGTCGCCTACCATATTTGCTTTTCTTGCTGCACATCGGTATGGTTTCTTCCTGTGCCTTTAATAAGGCTTCTTTAAAATCCTGCCATACACACAGATCCAGACATGCCAAGAGACAGACCTATCCACACACAAGGATAGACAAACCGACCAAACCAGACAGGACCAAACCCAGACACACAGATCCAGACATGCAAAGAGCCAGACCCGCCCACACGCAGGGACAGACCGACCGACCCAGACGGGACCAAACCCAGACACACAGACCCAGAGGTGCAGAGTCAGACCCGCCCACAGACAGAGACAGACCGACCGACCCAGACGGGACCAAACCCAGACACACAGACAGACCCGCCCGCACACAGGGACAGACCGACCCAGACGAGAGCAAACCCAGACAGACCCGCCCACCCGCCCGCACTCAGGGACAGACCGACCGACCCAGACGGGACCAAACCCAGACACACAGACAGACCCGCCCGCACTCAGGGACAGACCGACCGACCCAGACGGGACCAAACCCAGACACACAGACAGACCCGCCCGCACTCAGGGACAGACCGACCGACCCAGACGGGACCAAACCCAGACACACAGACAGACCCGCCCGCACTCAGGGACAGACCGACCGACCCAGACGGGACCAAACCCAGACACACAGACAGACCCGCCCGCACTCAGGGACAGACCGACCGACCCAGACGGGACCAAACCCAGACACACAGACAGACCCGCCCGCACTCAGGGACAGACCGACCGACCCAGACGGGACCAAACCCAGACACACAGACAGACCCGCCCGCACTCAGGGACAGACCGACCGACCCAGACGGGACCAAACCCAGACACACAGACAGACCCGCCCGCACTCAGGGACAGACCGACCGACCCAGACGGGACCAAACCCAGACACACAGACAGACCCGCCCGCACTCAGGGACAGACCGACCGACCCAGACGGGACCAAACCCAGACACACAGACAGACCCGCCCGCACACAGGGACAGACCGACCCAGATGAGAGCAAACCCAGACACCCGCACACGAACAGACATTTCCGTGTCGCTGGGGACCAGTTTCCACACAGCATCACGTACCCCAGCTCCAATCCAAGGTCCCACCAGGGCCACATCCTGACCTCACAGGGCAGCAAGAGCTGAGAGGCCCGGGAGGGCTCTTTGGCCAGTCCATCCTTGCAGCCTAATTGCACACCCCGGCTTCAGCCTGGGCTCGCCGAAGGTGCTAGTGCGCATGGGCCGTCAGGTGGCAGGGGCCATGTGCTCCAACGGGACCTGGTGCCTCCCCGCGAGCGAGGCCCATCCCAGAGAGCCTGGGCCGATACAGGGTAGGAGGTGCCAGGTTCCGACCGGCTGCTGGGACTGGGCAGGGAATGGCGATCCACGGAGAGTCGGAGCTCAAGAGGAGACAGAGGAGAACGGAGGGAGAGAGACCAGCGCTAACGAACTGCGGGAGCCAGTTCTTCTAGCCCTGCTGCACAGAACCTGCCCCCAGCCTGGGACCCCAGCAGGGCTCCCCCAGCCGAGAGAGGCTGGGGCCAAAGCCACTGGGCTCCCACCCTGGTCCTGCAGCATCCAGAGAGCCCCTGGTCTCCCCTTCCCGGGAGCACGACACTCGGGGCAGGGGGTGTCCCCCCAGCCGGGGCAGCTGGCTCCGCCCAGCAGTCACTCACTGGAGAAGGGGGGCTCCAGGGTCCCAATCGCTGGGCTGGGCTCCCCCAGCCGAGAGAGGCTGGGGCCAAAGCCACTGGGCTCCCACCCTGGTCCTGCAGCATCCAGAGAGCCCCTGGTCTCCCCTTCCCGGGAGCACGACACTCGGGGCAGGGGGTGTCCCCCCAGCCGGGGCAGCTGGCTCCGCCCAGCAGTCACTCACTGGAGAAGGGGGGCTCCAGGGTCCCAATCGCTGGGCTGGGCTGGCAGCAGGCTCCACCCCGGGGCAAAACTGCCAGCTCGAGGCAGGGGGATCAGAGGGCTGGTGGCTCTGAGCTGCAAGGCCGGGGGGCCTCCAGCAGCAGGGACTTGCCACGGCCCTGGCCCACCCAGCCTGGTGGAACCTGTCCCAGGACTCTGGCTGCAAGGGAAGTCCTGGGCGACAGGCAGTGGGATGGCAGGGCTGGAACCCCGCAGAACAGGCGAGGGGACAAGCAGGGCATGGGCTGAGCCTGGCTCAGTTGTTAAGTTCGTTAAGGATGACCCGCAGTTCGTTAGTGAGAACACGGTTTTTTTCCGCCTCCTGCTGGGAGCGTTCTACCGAAAACAGAGACATCAGCAGCAGAGAGAGAGAGAGAGAGAGAGAGAGAGAGTGTTAGTGCAAAGAGAAACTCAGGTTAGCACAGACGCCATCAGTGTATGCCGAACCCAGGGGACCACCTCCCCATGGCCCAGAGGAAGGAGAAAAACTCCGTCTGCAGCAGCTGGGGAGAGGGCTCTGGCCCGGCCCCATTGGAGAAGGAAGGGGGAGACGGTTGCAGCTGGGGAGAGGTCTCTGGCCCGGCCCCATTGGAGAAGGAAGGGGGAGACGGTTGCAGCTGGGGAGAGGTCTCTGGCCCGGCCCCATTGGAGAAGGAAGGGGGAGACGGTTGCAGCTGGGGAGAGGTCTCTGGCCCGGCCCCATTGGAGAAGGAAGGGGGAGACGGTTGCAGCTGGGGAGAGGTCTCTGGCCCGGCCCCATTGGAGAAGGAAGGGGGAGACGGTTGCAGCTGGGGAGAGGTCTCTGGCCCGGCCCCATTGGAGAAGGAAGGGGGAGACGGTTGCAGGGGAGACGGTTGCAGATGGGGAGAGGTCTCTGGCCCGGCCCCATTGGAGAAGGAAGGGGGAGACGGTTGCAGATGGGGAGAGCTGGATTACAAGCTGGTCCGGGAGCACATGGCTCTTTGCAGGGAAAAGCCAATCACCGCCCCAGGAAGGAAAGGTGCTGCCCCGCTCAGCTGGGTGCCAAGCCGCCAGGGCTGCGGAGTGGGGCATGTGCTGCAGGAGGGTCAGGCAATGGAGCAGACAGGATCAGGGACCTGGGACCTAGAAGGAGCCCAGGGACAAGGAGAGCACTCCTTTCCAGAGCAGCTGGCTGGCTGCTCCCCCAGCAAGGCCCAGAGCAGCCGGGGCAGGACTGAGCTTAGGGACTGGCAGGCTCCAGCGCCCAGCCCAGCCCCGCCCCGCCGGCGAGAGCACACAGCAGGAGCCCCGCAAAGGGCCATGTGCAGGCATGAGAGTGAGACAGACAATGAGGGTGGAGGTGAAAAACCCAGAGCAGCATGAAGGAGACCAAGGAGAAACCAAGGAGAGAAAAGGCTTTATTGAGACCAGGAGAGAAAGTCGTGAAATGGGAGCGCAAGAGGAGGGTGAGCAGGACAGGGAGAGCGCAGAGCGGGGGCAGGGGAGAGCAGGGCTGCCAAGTCTCCGGGATGTTTTTCTCCCACCCTGGCTGCGGGGGGGGCTGCTTCCAGCGGGGT